AATTACAGGCATGCGCTACCACGCCCGGCTGATTTTTTGATTTATTGTAGAGATGAGGTCTCACTGCCCAGGCGGGTCTCGAACCCGTGGGCTCAGGCAATCCACTCACCTCAGCCTCCCAAAGGTGCGGGATTACAGGCTGAGCCACCGAGCCCGGCTTCGTATGTCTTTGGTGAACGTAAGTCCTTGTTTCTGTTTGATTCTACGGGACATGAATATATCTACAGATTGTGCATCAGTATATTTAACCAACCACGCATCAAAAATGTTTGAAAAAGTAAAAACCAATACAATGATAAGAACAATACAGTTTAAGAAACAACACACTATAGCTATTTGCATAGCATTTACATTGTAGTGGCTTTATAAGTAATCTAGAGATAATTTGAAGTCTACAGGAGGATGTGTGTAGGTTACAAATACAATGCCATTTTATATCAAGGACTTGAGAATCTCCAGATTTTGGTGTCTGTGGGGGTCGTGGAACCAATCCCCCATTAATATCAAGGGAGACTGTATCTAGTCCTGAAAGTTGTGTCAGAGGGTAGGCACATGATCAGTGTTAGTTTTCCAAAGTATGTGTAACAATTCACACTCCACCAGCAGTGCATGAGAGCTCTCACCCACAAGAAGTTTTACAAGTGGCATGGTATTTCATCTTAGGGATGCATTGCCATTTATTTTACTAGTTCCCTATTGTTGGGCACCTGGGTTGTTTGCAGCTTTTGCTGTTATAAATAGCTCATTTACAAACATTCTTTCAAGAAAATCTTTGCACATGTCCTTGACTATTTCCCTAGAATAAATCTTCAAGACCGAGCATGCATATTTTTAATTACTTGGATGTTCATTGTGAAATTTCCTTCCCCAGGAGGCTGTACCAATTTTTGCTTTGTTTCAAAGATTGGTGCACATTTTCTATCAAGGGTTGCATAATAAATGTCTTTTGTTTTGCTGGTCATGTGGTCTCTGTTACAATGACTCAGCTCTGCTGCTGTAACATGAAAGCAGACATAGACAATATATAAGCAGAGAGGTGTGGCTGTGTTCCAATGAACCTTATTCATAAATACAGGAGGCGGGCCACATTTGGTCATGGGTCATAGTTTGCTGACTCCTGCTTTATTTGGTCAATGGTTTCTGAGAGTTGAGTAGCAACTGGGGAGTGGAGTCCATGGACCTATCACGATAAAGTTCCATCCTTCCTCCTAATGGAAAAGTGTGAACAGAAAGGCCATCTCTGTGTGCTACCCAGAAGCCAGGGACAGAGCTGTAGGCTTCCTGTTGTAAGTTCAATGTATAAGAGTGCTCTGGGTGTCACATTGTGAACCTAGAGTCAACTAACGTGTGACTTCTAAAAATGGTCTGATTCTAGGAAATCTGCGCATGTGAAGACAAACAAAGAAACCTCTGAGACAAAGTCAAAAAGTGGAAATGAAAACTATGGGTTCAGTTTAGAGAAACCAAGGACCTCAGGTGAGTAGACAAGACAGGTGGGGCAGTAGAAAGACCTTGAAAAGAGTGTTGGAAGAAGGAGTGGCCAGCTAGACACCAGTTGCATGGGAAGTATAATTTAGCAATTGGTTTTGATTATTTTTGGGGTAACTTTTAGAAGAAGGAGAAATTCTAGAACTAGGAATATTTTAGGAGACGGTTAGCAGCAAAAATTTACCTATTTGTCTACAGTTTAAAATAAAATCAGGTGGAAACCTGAATGTTTTAAAAAATAATTTTCTGCTCCCTGCCCCATGCTTTCTTTTCCTTTTATTTTTTTAGTAAAAGTCTTCTACATTACCTTAAAATGTATGGAGAAGCATTTTAATACATTAGGGGAAACTTCCTCCAAACTTCAACAGGATTCAAAGCAAAACAGAAACTCAGCAAGAATTCTGTTCCCTTTCAACTTAACAGGGAATTGGGGAATGTGGGAAGACTAGACTCATTTTGGGAAAGTTGATATTACTTGCAGTAATATCTCATTTTCTTATCATGAGAATCATAATGGGGTGGGGGGACATCTCTGAAGGCAATGCAGCAGTGGTTGGATTTCGAACACTGTGGAGAAGGGAAGGCTGTACACATTATCCCTCAGTAGTCTGGAAGGGAGACCTGGTCTTACCAAGTGACCTGGTAAGACAAATTTCATGGAGAAATTTTAGCCAATCAATCCTTGAGGAGCCTGAAAACTTATTTCACTAAAGTGGGACTCTATGCTTGGTAGTCCCATCCTTTTGATTTTTACTTCTCATGCGTATTCTGAATTATATGCTACAGATTTTAAAAAATTCCACAAAGTATGGACTTCTTCTATTGATTATATGACCACACGTTCTTACGAAATTTCCTTGTGAGTGAATATTTCTTCACTAGTATTTTGAGCAGTTAATCAAGTATCTTGACCCAAATCTTGGCCCAAACCAAATCTCTCTGCCTCCCTTCCCCACACTGGCCTGGTATTTATTTTCTTTGATTGGCTATTGAAGTGATGAATTCATCTTGTCTCTTGATGAGACTAATGTGTCAAGAAATATACTCATTTTGAGTTAGTTTTCCATATTTTTATTTCACTAAAATAAAGAAGTATGTAATTGCAAGAGAATTTTTAAAAAAGTCGATTATAGTTAAGAATTATTCTATGCCAGGTTACTGCATAAAAGCAAATGTGTTTCTTTATAAATCAGAGCTTATAGAATTTGAGACTATTAGAATACATAGCTTGATTTTTGTCACTTATGACTCTAAAAATCATTCTTGTGTTGCAGAGATTGCTTCTCTCCCTCCCACGTCCTCTGAATTCAGCATTTGGGAACAAAACAGCAGTCTCCATCCCTATCAGGTGATCTAGACCATTTTTTCCCTTTTGGGGACATGTTTGGCCATTTAAAACTTGTGCTAGGTAATTATAATGTGGTACACCTTGTATATTGATGATGAAGAACAGTTCCCTTCTCCTCCATATCAACTGGTCAGCTTGGAGGGGTGGGGCTGAGACAAGAAGAATCTCTTGCCCCCTGCAGCAGAGGCTCCAAGCCAAGGCTGCTGCTGTGTAACAGTCTGTGTGCATGTTTTGGGCTTGATTTGGGCTTGATGTGGCTTGATTTCAGACATATTCCATCTGAGTCAGCATAATAGAGAGCAGCATATAGAATTTGCCATTTGTTCTCTTCGAACCAAGTTCTCAGTCCACTCTGAACTCCAGTCCACTCTGCTTTCCTGGTTACCCAAAGCCCATGTGGTGCTCATCTAAACTTGGACCCTCGGGGACTTTGGCTCATGGCAGGATGCTGGGGCCACCAGGTTTGAAGATCAGAACAGAGAAAATGTGGTTTTCTCTGCATGCAAGATCTGTGCCAGTGAGCTTAAGAGCTGGAAAGATCCTGTCAGGATTAGAATGTCAGGAGAGAGAGGAGGAGATTTTTAAAAATTCCACAAATCATGAACTTCTTCCACTGATTATCTGACCACAGCTTCTTTCAAAGTTTCCTGTAAGTGAACATTTATTCATTAGTATTTTGAGCAATTAATCAAGTACCTTGACCAAAATCTTAGTCCAAATCAAACCTCTCTGCCTCTTTTCCCTCCACTGACCTGGTATTTATTTGGGACATGGGCAGAACCACTAGGAGGCTGGAGTTGCCATGAACTGAGATGGGGAATGACGTGGGTGAAGTGGGTTTTTGGGGGAAAGATCAGATGTGTAATTTGGAACTTGTAGATTTTGAGGGCTCTGTTGACATTCACATGGATACATTGCGTGTGCAGTTGGATGAACCAGTCTGGAGTCCCAGCCCGAGCTATAGATATTGTTGCATATTAAGCAATGTTTTGATGGACACTGTACTTTCACAGAACAGTTAACTTAAAGAAAATAGTCAATCGAGAACTCTGAGGACATAGTATGTTAGTTTTCTGATAAGGGTCAGCATTGGTTATCATAAACAAATGAATTAGAGTATGCACAGAAAGTAAGTTTTTTCATATCCAAAATCATACTAGGTAAAAAAATATATAACCAGCATGCTTTTATGACCTGTACAAATGCAATTTCAAACAAGAAGTATTTAGATGCAATTCTGTGATCATGTGCCCAATAAGTATGGGTGTGCTTCCCTTTTAACTTGCAGACTGAGTTTCTGACAGCACACTGGACCAGACAGTCTTGGGTCTGTTCTGCTAGGGGTTGCTTTACCTGATTTTGGGCTTGTTCTGCAAAGAGTTGCTTTACTGAGGTGGTGGTGTCCAGTTGGTGCCTGTGTAGTCCCTGAAATTTCTTTCTGACATAGGTATTGATGTGGGTTTCTAGACAGCTATGTGCCATAATACTCCTTCCTGCAATTGGGATTCAGCTCACTATATACATTTTGCTAATGATGTGTGTTTTCTGGCCTTTAGGGAAGAAGGAGAGCTCTGACTGATGATCAGTCATGTATCAGGAGAACCTACATGATATTATTAGTGAAGGCACAGGTAGCTGGGTGGGAAGACATATGAAGGGGCTGGGGCACAAAAGAAGACAGGCCTAATGACAAATAGTTGGTTCCCAATATAAGTCCTAGCTACTTTTCTCAGGCTGGGTGTCAGGAAAATGGAGAGGTGAATTTTTTTTTTCATCAGGGCTGCTGTCTTTGGCACATATATCTTTTGATGCATTTAATTTGGAGCTGAGAAGGATGATTCTGGAAATACAACAGGTTTCCTTTAGAAGAAACAGTCTCTGACTAAGAGGTGATAGGTGAAAGGGAGTAACCATTTGTCTGTGAAGGATGTTGCCTGTGAAATGGCTCATGACTGGGCCTAGGTGGGGAATGCAGACTGATGAAAGGGCATGGCTGGTTGAGGGGCTCTTTTTCATCCAGCACTAAGCACCAACACCCCAAGAGCACATGTAAGTAAGCTGTTATTTCCATAGCTTTTGGAAAGGAAAGGCTACGGAAATAACAGTTCCATAGCCTCTGTGGTTATCTTTTCCTATTAAGTGTGTTTCTAGCAGACAAGCCAAAGAGTTCGGGTCTGGGATGGTAAGGAGAGGGCAGGATGAGAGGAACTTACCTAGAATAGGGTCATGTCCCATAATCTCCTTCGAAAAACACATCTAGTATAAATGAGGAGAAAGGAGAACTCAAGATGTGTTTGGATACCGGAGTGGAGAATGACGTTTCCGAGTTCTAATGACATTTTGGATGCTTCTTGAAGCTTGCAGTGTTGTTTCAAAATGCACAGGAAGAGAAATTTAAGAGGTTTCTGCTACTGAGACATGTAACCAGCTAAATAATCTATTGGTGGAAAAATAACAGTTGCCATGAAGGTGTTGGGCCCCTGGGACTGGTAACATACACTCATGCTTCTTGAAGTGTTTGTGAGTCTCCTAGGGGAGCCATACACCTCAGCAGATGGCGTCAAGACCCTTCAGAAACAAATCAGAACTCCAGCAAAATGAATTCAGAAACTGATGAGGGGTTATTAAATGACTGGAACTCTCTTCACAGTAGGGGAGCTTTAAGATTGAGCTTTAAAGAGTTCAATCTTTGATAAGGACCCAAGAGGGACTTTGCAGGCATGGACCCAGGCACTGTCTCCAGGTGTCCCATATGGAGAACTTGGATGCAAGATGTGTTTTCTGTGAAGCACTTAGAGATGAGACTGACTCTCTGCAAGACAGTCCAGAGAGGACAGGGTTGGGCTTAGGGACACAGCAGTTCCCTTCCATGTCCTTGGTCTAAAGAGGACATAGTCCTTTACATGGGTAACTGGTCATGTGAGGGCTGCCAGAGTAGAAGTCAGCCAAGGTGACCCTTGGCGCAGAGGCTCCTTTTCTAAGAGATTCCCTAGGCCAGATCAGGTCCTGTAGCCCTGCCTGGTCTGTGTCCCCAGGTTCTTGCTGTGCAGGTTGATGAAGATTTTCCTCAGAACCCTTTGATCCAAGGTGTAAGGACAATGCAATCTGTGCCTTCCTTTCTCAAACCCTCTTCTCTCCAGTCCATAGTAACCTTGTTCCCAAAAGGACCCAGGAGTGACAGCTGAGAGTTTTTCAGAGCCCCGTCCCGTTTGTCCTTTCATCCTCTCTTGCATGCCCCAGTGTGATTCCAATTTGTCACAGAGAGCTCCCATGCTGCTGCTGGGTGTATCTGCGCACACATGCTTCTCGACCAGAGCTGGGGCCCAGCAGAATTCCTGCCTGAGAAGCTGGTTCATTAGAGTTGAGAGTTGTTGACTACAGATTGCAGTATTTTGCAGAGAACACACATCAGGCTTGGGCCCTGATGCTCTTCCCAATCTTGGTTGCTGTGGAGCTAGTTAGGTCAGATAAATGGCCTTTCGATGGAGACACAGCATGTACTACAGCAATCCAGGCTCCTGCTTTGTATGAACAGATCTTAGAGCATGGTGGTCTTGGTTTTGCAAACAGCACAGCAGGGTTGAGCACATGACTTTGCCCTCTGTTCATGTAGCTATTCTCTTCTGCTGAACCTGGTGATCTCAGCATTTTCAGAAGGTCTCAACTAATGGATGGCCATGGACCACATACAGGCTAGCACCCTGTACCTAGGTGCTCAGCAAACAGTTATTCATTAAAATGAAAAATGTCTTCCATACCCAGCATTATGTTGTCACAACCCAGGTGCTATACAGAGCTCACAGGTGCATATAGACGCGGTTCCTGTGCTGTTGATTGCAACCCAGTTGTGACAAAAAATATTTTTATACCATCACAGATGAATATACAACCTAAAAATAGTATTATGTTTTGAGTTGTTAAGAAAAACAAAGTGATTTTATATCAAATTGCTGTTTCACTTCTATATGTTCTGGGGCACTTTAGTTTTCTTCATGGGTTCATTATTTAAATTTTTCCCAAGGAAGGGGAAGTCTAAAGTGCCAGGATTTGCCCACAGGAGTCATTGATGAGGCCCTTAGGATGCCCAGATTTGTGGTTCTCACCTCCAGGTATCTGGACTCTGAGGGGCTGGAGAGGTATCTGAGCACCTCTGCTTTTTGGGACAACTTGATGTGGTTCTGACATGTGGCTTGGTGTAAGGGTATTGATAATCTTACAGCAAGATGGGAATGGGATTTCTGGGAGGGAAGAGTGGCAGGTCTCCAAACAACAACTTGTATCTTTTGTAACTTCACCTTGCCCAGTGGGCACTCAACAATTTCAGTTTGCACAACTTCCCAAGACATTCTTAATGACCTGCTCATAACTACCATCATACCTGACCCCTCTCAGGAAATGATGGTGTCCGTGCCCTTGCTACTTCTGGTTGGAATCATGAGGCCTCCTTCAAGCAGAGGAGAGTCTAGACACTGAGCCTGAGAGTCAGAGATGACCCCCAGCTTAGGACAGCATCCAATATCACAAGCAGCGGGTGGCGTTTCTGGGTTACTCATACCCCCACCTTCCATGCCACAGCCTCCAGTTCCTCCTCTCTGAGTTCTACATACTTGTGTCTACATCTCGAGGCTGCAGTGAACCTTGGCATGCCACAACATTATCATGAATAACCTGGCACAATTCTAATTACAGCCAACAGTTACCCAAACAGGAAACCAGAATTTTAACATTTCAGGAAGACGTAGAAAACCCTGTTTGCTGTGGAACCAGTGTCCCATAACTATTGGCCTTTTTTTTGAAAATTATTTTTATTTTTTTAAAGACAGGGTCTCACTATGTTGCTCAGACTGGTCTTGAACTCCTGGCCTCAGGTGATCCTCCTATTTTGGCCTCCCAAAGTGCTGGGATTGTAGGCATGAGGCACTGCACCTGGCCAACTATTGTCCCTTCACTGTCTCTTCTGTTAAGATCCAGAATGCCCAGGGTCCATGTTGCTATGGAGAGGAGTAAAATGGTGAAACCCTGTTTTCAAACCTTTAGTTATCTCCTGATACTTTCAGTGCTGGCAGTCCTCAGACAACTTCAGAAGGGTAGGGTCTTGTCCTTGGGGGCAGTGTCATAGGGGACAGGCTGCAGGCTGGAATTTTGCCCCACAGAAGGCCAAGCATTGTGACCAGGAGTGACAGAGACAATAGCTGACACGGATCAGGTCCAGGGTTGATGTTGCTCATAGATGACAGGAAGAGGTAGATGATTCTAGAACACATGGTCTCCCAGGCTGTCTGGAACTCCTCTCTCCTTCATCCCTGTCTCATTCCTCCTCCCCTGCCAGGTTCTTCCCTGAACATTGGACTTTCTGCTTGAGAAATGGGGCAGTCCTGGTTCCTGCCACCACCTGGCAGAAATATGTATCCTGATTCCTGGATCCTGGTTTTCCCAAAGAATTCTTGCTGAACATGGAGGTGCACTTGCACCTATTTATAGCAGGGTACCCTGTTGGCTTAGCAGTAGTTCCCAATATAGCACCACACCAGAGCCACGTTGGGTACTTGTTAAAATGCACCCTCTTGGGCCTTTTCCAAAACTACTGGATTAGAATCTCTGGGGGATAGGGTCAAATAATTGGTATTTTTGTTGTATTCCCCTCATTATCTGCCTTGGGAACAATAGTTCTGTGGCCTAGTGTAAAAACACAACAGACATGTGTAGCATTGTTTCCAAGGGGGCATATAGTCTGATTTCTAGTAGTTTTCTTATAACTGTGTGTTTGAAATTACTGTTACCTCACATCTCCTCCTCACTGACCTTGCTGCAAAGCACAGAGAAGGGTTTGAGATGCTTATGGTATGGCTGTGATCAAGCCAAGTGGAAGGTCCCCATGCTAAACATTCTACCATCCACATAGCTGGGGCATAATATTTTAAATTGCCCATATTTTATATGAGTCATAAAGCATAACACACTCAATTTAACTGAAATAAATGAGATTTCAGGCTGTGGAGATCCCCAGATCGTGCAGCAAAGTGTAGGAAGCATCAGAAAGAAAAGAGAGATTGATTTTTAAAATTGACATATACAGGAACATGACACTTTTCTTCTCTGATTATTTCCATGGTGACTGATCTACAGTTAAGATGTGTAGTACTGACATTATTTTCTAGATGAGAGTTTCTGTTGGTAAAATAGAATTAACTCAGGTGTAACTGCAGTTGAAAAGCATTAGGACAAAACTAAAACATAAAATAGAAATTCTTACTAAAAATTACAGTCAATTCATGAGAAAGCCTAGCTCTTTTTATTTGTGTAGGAATCCATGGGGTTTGCAAATATTCTGCATCTTGATGAATATTGAGAACAAATAAACATTCTTTTCTCTCCTCTTCTCATGCCTTAACTCACTGTCAGTCCATTTTTCTGGTTGTTTTGGGAAATTCTGTCTGTCAGTTTTGGAGGGTGGGCATATGAACAATTTGAAACCCAGATCAACCCTTCACCACATGTCACTCACCCTATTGAGATAAACAGAAATAAACTCTTCATAAATTCTGAAAACAGCAAGACATTTGTGTAACCCAACAATAAAAACAAAAGCAAACATCAGTAAAAATCTCAAGCATATTCTCAGCAGAAGACACAATTCTCTTAGCGCATTGCTGAAATTGTTCCACCTGCCGTCCGGTTTTCCTTGTGTTATTGGGAGTCAACACATTAAAACCATGAGCCAGAGTGATTCTATCCGCAAGACTTACTAACATTCCATTGCAATGTGAATAATTTATCATGCCTAGTTACATTATTTAAAATGTTAAATGCAGCTACTGTGCCCTGGAATCTGAGCTGGCATTCTCAGGATTGGCAGGAAAAACACATTGCACACATTTTAATAGGGCAATGTGATTAGACAAGCATTGGCCGCTTTGGAGGATTAAATGGTTTGTTTGGGATTACATTTCTGAATGAGAACAGCAAAGACTACACTCCTTCCTGATGGAAGCCAATGTCAGACAATGCCAAAAAAGACAGATGGGTGATCGATTTGAAGTCAACTCTTCAATTTTGCCCCTCTCTTCTAGAAGAAAAGTATGCTATTTAGAGAAATTTAGAAATATTTTATATTTTCATTAAAAAAATCTAGCTGGTAAAGCAAGAACTTTCATAGGAAAATTGGAAACAATACAAAATAGTGAGTCATTGTGGTAATTTGCCTTTATAAAAACAAATACTGGATTTCTGGAATTGGATTACTCTTTAAGCCCTGAACTTGGAAAGCTTCTAAAGTGTGTGTTATTGGAAATAATGAAGTTAAAGGAAGGTCATGTTTTAACAGTTTTGTTACTCTCTGTACCTTAATTTTATCTTAAGAGATGAGTGATGTTTCCCTCTCAAGTGTGTGCATTTTACAATGATCTCAATCCATTAAACTGACCTTTTTCCCTTTGTTACCAGGAAGCTAATCAATGTCTGCCCAGGCCAGCAAGTCGTCCACAGGTCTCTTTTAATTTGGCCAGTTCTAAGAAGGTCAGAAGTATTACTTTAGTATAGTAAAGACTTTCCCTCAGCTCCTTTTCGAACTTGGCTGATGATTTACAACACAGCGATGTCATCATTTCTCTCCATTCTGAGACAGGGCTGCAGCTTTGCCAACGTTACCCGAAAAGGCGATGTCAGAGTTGTTGGAACTGATATTTTATAGTGAAAGAAGAAATCGATTTTCCCAGATTTCAAAGTGGAATTTGACTTTTAAAATGTTTCAAGGTTTTAGTGAATTCCAGAAAGTTACTAAGTAAAAGCTGCAAATTCTTCACGATAACGTTTCTCAACACTCCCACTTGCTAATCCCAATAGATAGTAAATAAGTCTGTTCTACCATGACTTTTAAGATGTTTTTACTATATTAAATCATATTAAGATGATATTTATGTATATTTAATATATAGGGGCATTTGCATGTTATCAGTGAAATAAGAAGATAAAAATTAAAGTCAATCAGAAATCTAAAACTGACTGTCAAACTGGAACTCAATAGGTTAAAAATAAGATTCAATTCTAACACTGATGCACATGTTCCTAAAAATCTCATGATTGAATATTTACATGCAGACTTTCATTTTTATCTGCTTCCTTATCAAGCTTGTTCTCATCTCCTCAGATGAATTAGATGTGGATTAAGCTTTGTTGGGGATGTACCTCACATACTGCAAACACTGTGAAAAAATTGGAAATGGGCAATGTGTCCTTTAATAAATAAAAAGAAAACACCAAAAAATGTGTTATTTCTTTACTGTTCAGGTGGGAGTTTAAAGAATCATGGTGCTTAGGAATTATGCCTTTTATAAGAAGAAAAACAGGAGATGTCTGTAAAAAAAATCCTATCTTTATGTTTATCTTTGCTTCTGCAATATTTTCCCCATTTAAACTTAACATGAATGTTGTTATAAAAAATAAAATTGCCGTATTTTCCAAATATTTTTCTTTTTGCATGCAGATATACTTGGTAAATTTCACTGCCTACCTCACTCCTTGTATTTAGCCTAGAGACAGTATTATGATTTGACTAAGTTCTGAACTGGTTGGTACAGATTTCTATGCTGGCTGGTGAGTAGCAACTGCCCTGAAACTCAGGCTAAAGTAGAATTTGACTTTTAAAATATGTCAAGATTTTAGTGAATTCCTAAGAGTTACCAAGTCAAATACGTAAATTTATCATGATGTTGTTTCTTATCAACACTCCTGTTTGCTAATCCAATAAATTATAGTCAAGTCTTACACTACCTTGGTTTGGAAAATACTTTTGTCATCTGACCAGAGGTGTGGCTTATGCCTGTAATCCCAGAGGTTTGGGAGGTGAAGGTGGGAGGACTGCTTGAACCCAGGAGTTTGAGACCAACGTAGGCAACATAGCGAGACCTTGTCTCTATAAACAATTAAAAAAAAAAAAGCCAGTCGTGGTGATGTATGACTGCAGTCCTAGCTACTCAGGAAGCTGAGGTGGAAGGATTGCCTGAGCCTAGGAGGTAAAGGCTGCAAAGAGCCGTGATCTGTGATCATGCCATTGCACTCCAACCCGGATGACAGAGTGAAACTCCAACTCAATACTAAAAAAAAAAACAAAAAACATTCTTGTTAACTTAATCACATTCGGTCCCTACCCTGGATCTTCCTATGAACCAGCAACACTCAAGAGGTATGGTGCCTATGTTTTGTTTGGCTGATGCTTATGCAGTATCCATTCTGATTGGTTGATGCCAATACAATACAATCTATTCGGACTGGGTGGTGTTAATATTTGGTTGTCAAATATTTTGAATATCACCACTGCTTAGAGAATCCTGAAAAAAAAACACCATCTCGTCTAGGACCATATCCCTAATGTGAGAAAATTGGCTACTGATTTTCTTGCAAGTAGAACTGAAATGCAAAAATCTCAAAAACCCAGAAATATTGGTGTATCACTTTCCTGAATCCTTTCTATTAAAAAAATTGTCAGTTCAACTGCTGAAAAATGACAATTATTATTCTAATTTCTTTATTCTCTGCCAATGTGACCCTGTCTTTCTACCACTGTGTTTGAATAAGTAAAAGAAGAGAAAGGAATGAAGGCTCGTGAAACCCTTTAGGCAAAGTTAGTGAGTGAACTCCATATTCTTCACTTAATAGGTTATTCTCCTTAAAAACACCACAAAATCCAGATTCGAAGACAAGGAAAATACCATGTCATCTAAACCTTTGTAATCTTTACTGTACCTAGTAAATTTACTACAAGTAAATTCAGTAAATATTGACTTCACTATTCATCAATGCTCAGTAAATATTGACATTAGACAGGTCAATATTGAGAAAGGCAGAGTATTGAATGTAATGAATATTTGCCATTATTCTGCTGTAAGAATCCTATTTTTGTAGTTTTGAACTCTGGAGGACAATAGTAAATGATTTTCATGAAAGTTTTTCCAACTTGGTACGTGCTTATAGAATCACCCTCAAAATATTTTTTCATTTATTAGAATATGGAGCCGGGCTCAGTGGCTCAGCCTGTAATCCCGCGCCTTTGGGAGGCTGAGGTGAGTGGATTGCCTGAGTCCGTGGGTTC